CCTTAGTGATTCTGTGATTCTGTGATTTTTGCATTTGTGATGTGTTAAGCGGGCTCATGAAGTCCATGGCCAATTCTGTACTGATGTGTTTGCATGCCTTGGGCTACAGGAAGTTGATCCTGTGTTTGAGCTCACTCACCTGGAGCAAACATTATCATGGTCACCTTTCTACCTACCCATGTGTGGTGCCTGGGTCCTGATGAAAGTTCAGAAAGCTAAGGGTCTACAAAAGATCCCTAACTGCAACCCTGAGTGCAGTGGGTAATGCAAAAAGAAAAGAGTGGATAGTCATCATGATGCATTTACTATGTTCCTCCTACAGGAGAAACAGGACAATCTGCAAGGATAACTTAAAACACATAGCCTTTTTCTCAAAGTTGGATCAAAATATACAAAGCTTTCATGAAGCTGAAAAAAATTTGCTTAAAAAAATCTTTATTTTAGAACAGGTCATATTTCCTCCTGGTTTTTTTTTTTTTTTTTTTTCTGAGCTGTGTAATTTAAGAACACAATAGAAACTTATGACAACAGTGTTTGCTGGCTTATTAATTTATCTAACAAGGTTAATAATGCAGTGGACCCTAATGCATGCCATCAACCAGAATGTTAGCCCCTGGTCAGCAGAGTTTGCGTAAGATTAGCTAGCGTATGTTAAGGTGTGTAAGGGCTGCATCTCCTCTGTTGCCTTCCTGCTTCCTAGATTATGCCAGCATGCATTAGTCTCCTATGAGGACAGATGGTGTCTACATTTATGTCTTGGGAACACAATCCTGCAGTAAAAATCCTCACAAGGTTTTTTTGCTTAGTTTTTCTGCAGCCGGAATAAGTCTTGTGAAGGAAAATGAACTACATATTCTTCATTATAAAGAACATTGTTTTATACTGATACTATCCCTTTAGATTTGTAGTTGCCTTCAACGTGTGGTTTCCATGCATGCTGGAAACCATAGGCTGTTTCCAAATGTTCAGTCTAAGAGGACAAGCATTGTATGGAGGCAGGGAGAAGGGATATGACCATGGGACTTTATGAATCCCAGCTCTCTGCCACCTACCCTAGGAGTGTGGGTGTTTCCTGCTAGTGCCTCGTTAAGAGTGCGGGCTGGGGATCATGCAACCAGTGCTGCAGTTTGCTTTCTGCCTTGGTTTGACATGGTTCACAGTGGTTCTGCTCTGCACTTTCTGCGTGAACACTGTGAACTGGGTAGGTGCAGCACAACCATCGCAGGCGTATGGTCTGTTTTCTCAATCTGAGAGAGCTCCGGTTCCCTCTTTGGAGTTTTAATAGTTTTGATCTTACATATTGAACTCAAAATCCATTTAAGTGTGAACAGGAGGCTAAGCAGTTCCCTGCCTCCTTTCATGTGCTTCAGATCCATTGTTAATTGCCACTTGCTCTCGTGTAACACCATGAGGTTTACTCTTGTGAGTCTCTGCTGCAGGGCATGGACTGATATGCCTTGACCCCATGTTTTTTTTTTTTCCCAGGGACTTGTTACAGAGGCAATGGCCAGTTTTACCAGGGCTGGGCCAACGTCACTGCCTCTGGCATTCCCTGCCAGAAGTGGAGCGACCAGGTGCGTATCGGTGTGGGACCCACTGAACAGAGAGCCGTGCTCGAGGTCTGCTTTTCCAAAGAGTTTCCCAGAGCTGGGCGACACAGTCCCAGTGGAAGGGCTGAGCAGGGGACAGGTTGCCTTCATTCTTGAGTTCATTGGTGTTTCACACCCTTTTTGTATTTTAATCTGCAAGTTCCCCTTCCTTGGCCAGATGCTTTCTCTGTCATTCTGGTAGACTACTGAAAGGCTGTTTTACCTCTGCCTTTCTTTGCTCCTTTGTTTTGTTTGGTTTTGTTTTGCTAATACCATCAGGAAAAATTATTCTGAAACACTAATTCCATTTGTTTCCTCCCTTAAGGATCCCCACTTGCACAGGCGGACTCCTCAGGTTTTCCCTGAGCTGTCTGATGCCGAGAATTACTGCCGCAACCCAGGAGGTGAGAATGAACGTCCCTGGTGCTACACAAAAGACCCATCCGTGACCTGGGAATACTGCAGCGTGTTGCCCTGTGGAGATGGTAGGCAACTGCAATTTATGGTTTCTGCCATTGTGGTTGTTTTGGGGCCACACAATGTGTTTGCTTCCTGAATGCCCACAGATGCACCAATCTGTTCTGTCCTCTGGATTCAGCCAGTCCTGGTTCTTCTCATAGATTCACTCAGCATCTTTAAGCAGAAGGTGTCATATGCACCTTAAAGATGGGAAAATGAAGATAGGCAAATTGAGCACCTTGTCCCAGATTACATTAAGGCCAAAGGAAGAAATCAAATTTCCTGTGGTATTATGAGAAATGGACTTGCCACACTGTGTTTTGAGAAGAAGGTAGGGCTTTCGGCATATTTCCCAAAGTTGTTTTGCTTCTGATGATTTTTCTCAATAATGAAAAACAATTCTAATTAAAAACAAATCTGAAAAAGATAGAAACATATTTGCTCTGTGATGTTGAAACTAAGTCTTTCTGTTATTTCTTGTTCAGTTCTTTGAGAACAGGACAATTTTTGAAACATATTTCATCCAATGCAGTTTCTGGATCACAGTGTTTGGAAATAAGACAATTCTGCTTCCACAGGAAACAGGGGTGCTGTGGACTTAAGGGAACACAAGTCAGTATCAGTTTAGCTGGCCTTAGAAAGAATGGTTTAAATTTCTTTCTGTTCTCAATCACTGCATATACAGATTAACATTTTCTAGAATGTCTCAGAAAATATTCAGCAGGTGAATATTAAATATTTTTTTCTCTAACAATACAGCCAAATGTATTTTACACTAGTTTACCATATTTGCCCCATAAAGACACTGAGATGCAAACTGTTGGAGGCAAGGGGTTATTTCAGGAAAGTATCACTGTGTACTTACTTGGTCTTACAGTCCTCCATGCAGATTCCTTTTAGGACACATGATACATTGTGGCCCACATTGTAGACCATTGATCTTTCCCACTGCAGACATTACTATATTTGAATACTGTTGAGACCATCAGATGTGATCTCCCATCCGTAACTCCTGCAAACATTCCTTACCAAAATCTTGTTCCCAACTCAGTGGGAACTGTGTCTTGGCCTTTACCAGATCCTGGGTTTTCACATTTGGCAAGCAGAAATGGGTTTTTCTTCCTGCAAACCAGGCTTCCCTAATATGGTCCTCTCATGCAGTCATACGGTTGTATCTATAATGTCAGTGATTCCCAGGACATCAGGCTGCCTCTGTAAATACCTCTTAGAGAAAGCACTATAAACTAGCAGAGTCATAACCTGATTTTGTTTGCATTACAGCATCGTTATCACTAGGAACAAGAAAACCAAATGGAGAGACTTCAGATCTCCCCCCTCCTGCTCCCTTTTCCCCTACATATTCCATGACTGTTATCATCTCGATCATCTCCAGCTTTGCCCTGGTCGTGATCCTTAGCATTGTCACCCTGGTTTGCTGCCGTCGGCGAAAGCAGTGGAAAAACAAAAAAAGGTAAAATTTGGGACTTAATTCAAGGCAACAAATGCTGCTTTGAAAGAAGGCTTGCCTGTTTCTGAAAGCATAGTCCTGCAAACGCCTGGTAGTTGGGGAGCAGCCTTCCCTTTGGCTGTGACAGCCCAGTGCAAGCTCTGGTGAGTCCCCGTGCCAGAGCAGAAGTTGGCCTGGTGGCTGTTTTGAGGACATGGCATGACCTTGCTGCCAGGCTCTTTCAACAGCCCTGCTGCACCTCCCATTTCCATCTTGGAAGAAACTAGCCCTGGCAGAGATGCAGATAGTTATCTCCTGGTTGGGGGCTGTGCACACACTGACTGAAAACTGCTCTGTTGTTTCAGAGAGTCAGAGACACTGACGCTCACCACTCTGCCCTCTGAACTCCTCCTGGACCGGCTGCACCCCAACCCGATGTACCAGCGGATGCCCCTTCTCCTCAATCCAAAATTGCTCAGCTTGGAGTATCCCAGGAACAATATTGAATACGTGAGAGATATTGGGGAAGGAGCATTTGGGAGAGTTTTCCAAGCAAGGTAAGCAGCCTATGTGTGAGTCCTCTCTATCTGGAGGTATCTGGGAAAAATTGGCAATTGGGCAACTGCTTATCTGAACATTGGAAATGCATTCACTCAAATGAAAATCCAATGCACATGTACAAAATGGTACACTCTGGCTTGAATAATTGTTTCTGTTCTCCACTGCTTTCTGGTGATATTTGTTAAAGTTTCATAACAAGTGACTTTCCTGTTGTCTCTAGTAGATACAATGTCTTACTCACATACCAAAGTCTGGTGTAAAAGCTTAGCTACATTTATCATCACTGTTTTTGACAAGAGTGTTGCCTGTGACATGTGACCTATTGTGAAATTCTTGCATTTCCCAATATTTGTGAATTGTTAGTATGTGGTGTTCTCCTTTATAATGCCAACACTGGCCAGTAATTACCACAGAGGGCAATGTGTCATGCTACAGTTAGGTCCTGACCCAGTTTCCATTTGATTCTGTGGCAAAACCAAACCAAACCAAAAATCCAAAAATCCCCTAAAAATCCAACCCACTTAGGCCAGCTTTTTTTTTTTTTTTTTTTTTTTTTTTTTTTTTTCCCCCTTTTTTTTTTATTTTTTTTTATTTTTGGACTTTGCAGCTATTGTTGCCTGTTTTAAATTTAAGGTATTAGATGAGATCCCAGTTCTGTTAAATCTCATGGGAGATCATGCACTTCTTCAAAAGTGAAAAATGTTTCATTGAAAAACCCAGAGATGAATCAGCTCTGCCTAGACTGAAGTGGTTGGAGGCATCTTGTTAGCCTTGACAGAGTCCATAATTTCTGCAGGACAGTCTTTGGACGGCACTGGTCTCCTTGGAAAATCCCATCTCCAAATTCCTGAAAGAAAGTAGATAGACTGCCTAGTTCCATGTTTACTCAGGATGGTTTTCTTTGTACTTTACAGTTAACAAGTCCGGCATGTGGGTCATTTTGTAGCCGTATCTGGAGTAGTGTATGATGACCTTAAAAAACCCCAGGGGAGTATGGAAGTCCCACCATGGGCCAAGACCTGCCTGGTGGAACTGCTCCCATTGACTTTAAAGACAAAGGACTGTCCTTGTGAAAAGCAGTCATAATTGCAGATAATTTTAATGTTTATGGTTATGCTGTTGATGTACCTGGTAGGAAGTGAGTTATGTACAGGTTAAATGTGTTAGAGCAGGGAAACAGTTTCTATAGCTGTGATGGATTTTTTTCCTAATGAAGGGATGCGTTTTTTCAAGTGGAAGAAATACAGGCTTACTTTTCTTTAATACAGAGAGAGCTAAAAATAATGAATTTTGAAGGGTGCGCAGCGGGAAAATCACCGATGCTTAGCCTGTGATTGATTGCTAGCCTGGATGGCAAAGGCAAATGCATCTGGGCTTGAAATGAGAACAAGGCTGCAGGAACTGCACCTCGGCGGCGCTCGGGGCAGTGCACGCCAGCCGGCACAGGGGCACAGGGCAGCCCTCGTCCCAGCCTCAGGCCAGCTCTCGGGATGCCCTGTGGAGCGTCGCCTTACTGCTCGCACAGTGGGGGTCTTCACCACACTGTGGGTGCACAGGCAGGGCAGGCGGTCTTTCTGCTAAGTGCTGTTTCATCCTTGTGCTGGGAGCTTAAATAGAAGTGCCGTACAGAACTTTCTGAGCTGGAAATGACTCTGACCCACATCGAGCAGAATCGCAGGCAAATGGCATTGAAGTGCTGGCTTAAGCAAGTACTAAAGTGGTATAAAGACCTTTTATGCAGATTTCATCCACCTCAGTACTGCAATTTCTTTTAATTAAAGCCTTTTGCTATTGTCAGTGGAAACTGGGAGAAAGAGAGACCAAAAAAAACCCCCAAAACAACACATCTTTTAGCCAGATTTTGTAATGTGGAAGGTACCATACCCTGAGAAACACCTGCTTTCTGTGGCTCAGGGAAGGAGCCACAGAAATACTGCTTCTGAGGGGCTTCCTTATTTTTATTACTATGTCTATCAAAAGTACCTCCAAGGCCTTGTATTTCCAGGGCACATCTGAGCCACTGGCATTTCTATGCACCACTGGCAGATCAGCACAGAGTGCTGATCCAGTAGTGCCAGCTGTGCATCCCTCCAGGTTACTGGTGCTATCACAACTCAAATCGTTGCCTTCCCATCTCAGATGGATAAAATGTACTTGTCTACGTGTGTTAAATGGACATCTCATGCTAAGTTTAGCAACCTTCTTACTTCTCCCGGTCTCATGTTTCTCCCTCTCCTGTAAACACAGCTCTGTTCCTGGTGCCAGCGATGCCTTTGCCAGTTGGCTTGCTGTGAGTCCTGATTCAGTGTTTACTCACTCCTGGGTCAAGCAACGTGTTAGGGCAGGAAGTGTCTGGCCATCATTTACCAGCTTCTCCTGAAAGGCTGCTGTCTTCACTGGGGACAGCTTCATACTGGGAAGGATGAGGAAGTAACCAGTTACCCTAACAGATGTCCTTAAAATAAGATTGAGGACCCGGCTCAGGTCTGTCCTGATTGGGTCATGATGGACACCTCAGGATCCTTTGCCCTTGGGAGGACCGTGTTGGCCCCACGTACCACCAGAGCACCAGTCCTGTGCAGTTCAACGCAGACCAGCATGCTGGTTTCTCCAGAGCCAGAGCAGCATGATCCAGTCTAACCCTGAAGGCCGGGATTGCCTGAAATCCTGGATGTGGAGTCTTTGCCAGCAGGCCAGTAGACCCCCACTGCAAAGGTGTAGCTCATTGTCTCTGCAAGACACAAGGCTGTTCTGGGGTTGGAGTTTCTCTGACAGAACTCTCTTCATGTTCTTTTCAAGTGCAAAGGGTGTTTTTTTGACTCAGTATCTCAAATGTATCTGAAAAACAGTGTGGATGTTAATTACAAAAAAAAACCCCACAACAAAATGATCCCCTGCCAATTCAGAGAACTCTCCTGCCCACAGAAGAGGCTTGTATCAGCAATAGTGTGGCCAGCAGGAGTAGGGAAGTGATCGTGCCCCTGTACTCGGCATTGGTGAGGCCACACCTTGAATCCTGTGTTCAGTGTTGGGCCCCTCGCTACAAGAAGGACATTGAGTGTTTAAAGGAGCTATGTGCAGTCCTTGACTGAGACTATTAGGTAATTATGGTTTTAAATTGTTGTCTGAAGGGATTATAGAGAAGGGTTGATGTCCAGGGATGATCTAGAGAAATGCAGCTCTGTTCCTATGTACTGCTCAGCACCATGGGGCCGGGACTCTGATTGCTCTTTGGTAATGCTGCCTTATACCCTCTTATCTTACTCCCCTTATCTGAGAGTTTTCATACTTGCACCTTTACGGAGAGAGTGGTCAAGCATGGGAACAGGCTGCTCAGGGAGGTGGTGGAGTCACCATCACTGGAAGTACTCAAAAAACGTGTGGATGTGGTGCTTCAGGACATGGTTTAGTGGGCATGGTGGTGTTAGGTTAATGGTTGGACTTGATGATCTTAAAGGTCTTTTCCAGCCTTAATGATTCTGTAATTCTGTGATTCTGTGATTCTGTGAAGGGTGAAATTACTTGCTGTTGCCTGAAGGCCCATTAAAAGGCTTTGTGCAGCTTAATCTCACTTAAATTACATTTATGTTAGTTTATATTACAGGATTTTGGTGAAGAGTAGGTGGATGGGTGTACTTTAGGGTTTAGCCTGGGGTGAGTTTCTCTCTCTGAAGCATGCAAGACTGAGCTGTGCCCGCCCCTGCTCTGGCACTGCACGAGGTCTGCTAGCCAGTGGTGAGTAGTAATCTACAATGAGGCTGTTTGGAAGAGATAAAGACCTCCTCTTTTTACTTTTAAATGCTCTACTGGTTTCTTCAGGCTGTTGCTGCTGACTTTCTCAAGGGTTGAGATTAGACAGCAGCTGGTAGGTGTTTGTTGGTACTTCCCCCCTCCTCCTGGACTGGAAACTTGCTGCCAGCTCAGGGAGGGGAAAAGGAAGACATTGTGCTGTGATGGAGGCAGCAGCAAAGTGTGGAGTCTGCTCCTCTGCTCTGGCATGCCGGACCTCCTCGCGCGAGCTACTCAGCTGTGATATGGCCACCTGTGAGATTCCTTTCTTGATGGGCACCCTGCCATATTCTGACATTTGACATTTACAGCATCCAAGTGCAACTGTTGCAACAGCCATATGTCTGGAGTAGATGACAAGGAAACTGGAAGTTTGCTTTGGAAATCGGAACCTCCTCTTGCAGCTACTAAGTAGTAAAATAACCTGGCATTTGAGCAATGAGAGGGCAGTCGGGCCAGCGTAGTAACATGACACGTAAATGGGCACTGCTGTCCGTGGGCTTTGGCTGGCTACCTGTAAGGACCATGTTTTAGCTGCAGAACCCCTGGGAAGAATTCGCGTAGGCAACAAAATGCACGTCTGAGGTTTGATGTATGTTTGAAGAGTGGAAAGTTACTCTTCTTTGGCAACAACTACCCCTAAATCTTTGGCAAGCCCCTCTAATTGAACTTGTTGAGAGCGCAGTGACCTGTGGATAAGAAAACAAAATGCATCTGTGATTGCTCTAGGTCAGGAAGCTCTGTCTCCTATGGATTTGTGTCTCTAAACTCTAGATGAAAATTCACCAGTGTCTTAACACAGGGGTATTCATGCATTACCTTGTTCTTCAGGCGAGACACATGTGTGCTTTGTCCCTTCTGTCCTGTCACCTGTTTCTACAAAATTTGCTTGACCATATTTCCTAGACCTCAGATCCATCACATTAGATTCAGCTGAAATTAGCAAATGGGTTTATAACTTGTTAAATTACAGACACATACAGGTGCCACACGCACACATAGAGAACAGTGGCAAAAGGTTATTTTCCTTCCAAAACCAGGGGAACATACTTACTGTAATTGATACTTTCACTCTAATAGAAGACAGATGTACCAATGCCACCATTCTGCCAGGTATGGGACAAGACGCAGTGAAAAGAGGCTCTTTCAATATTTTCATATAAAATAGGTTTATTTTTAACTCTGGTAAGCTTAGTCATTACACCCCAAAAGTGAATTGTTTGGACTGAAGTGCCCATTCTGGCCTCCATGAAGTTTCTGATGTGACCTCCAAGCCAGGGAGAGGTTATCTCTTACCAAACTGTTATTTATTTATCCCTTTACCAGTTATGGTAAAGAGTCTGTAAGCAGAAAGAGCCGTAATGAAAAAAAGCTCTATTGGATTTAGTCCCTTCTGAACTAAATTAAATGGCTGTGTACTATGCAATGCAGACATGCCTGAGAGGTGAAGATGGTCTTTCATGTTTTTTTTTTCATGTTTTTTTGGCCAGTGCTGGGGCCTTCCACCCTTTCTTTTTTTTTTTTTTTTCCTCTCAGCCTATCCTTTTGCACCAGAAACGGAGCCCACATTTGGTGTGCATGCATCCATCACTGATGCTTTTCTTTCTCCCCTCTCCCTGCAGGGCCCCAGGGCTGCTGCCATATGAGCCTTTCACAATGGTGGCAGTGAAAATGCTGAAGGAGGAAGCATCCGCAGATATGCAGGCTGATTTTCAGAGGGAGGCAGCCCTCATGGCAGAGTTTGACAATCCGAATATCGTCAAGCTTTTAGGTATCTGAATGAGGCACCCATGTACAGGGTACCACCTTCTGCAAATCTGCTGTGGGGCTGTTGGGTGTGCAGGGGCAAACACACGTCCGTGACCGGCAAATGGCAATGCTGGTCTCTTTTGCAAGAGAAAATGCCTTTTGCAAAAGAGGTGAGCTTTTCTATGTGCCACTGCATGCTCTGCTGCTCTGCTAAATCGTCCACGAGAACAAGTCTCAAAATGTAGGTCTGATGTGGTTGTCTTAGCAGGATGGTGCCTCGTAATAAACTCTCCTCATCCTGCATTGAGTATACTGTGGATCATCTTGCTGTCTAGCTCTGCTTCCAGTTTAATAACATTGGCACAGATGTCTTACAGGGAAGGCATGAGCTTCCTGGAGCTGTGATTTATTTTGTGGGTACTTTAAAAAAACAGGCACAAGTCCTGTTAGTTTTATGGGTCCCACTTACTATTGTGATGTCTGAACACTCACCAGCATTAAAAATCCAAAATGAAACAAATAAACAAAAAAAGCCAACCACAAAAATGGTCTCTTCCTTCCCTCCCAGCTGAAAGGAAACCCCAGTCTATTGCATTTTTTAGAAAGTCTTGATGCCGCAGCTTGGCTAATAAGGCATTCTTCTGTGAAGAAAGCTGCCAACCAAGTTTTATTTCAATACATTTTCAGTTTTTGACTGAAGTAGATGGTAGCCACCTTCACCTGGCAATCCTGCTCTAAGTTGTCATATGCAGATCTGATCCATGTGAACAGGCAGCTGAGATCTTAATTTATTTCGATCGGAAGCTCCACAAAATTTGCAAGTAGATAAATCCCCATTTTGGGAAAGCTGGGTCGATACAAGTACTTTGGCCACCGAAAAAAAAGGCAGGAAATGCCCCAAACTCAAATAAACATTGTGTTTATTGTCAACACATTTTAGGTCAGGAAAGGGCAAAGGTACAGGAACAAACTAGTTTCACATCATGGGGGTGTGGAGAAAACAGCCACATTGTTGAAGACAGCTTCAATGATAAAACTCTCACATACACTCTTCAGTTGTCAGATCCTGATTTTATCACACTGGAACAGCTATCTGTTTTTCCTCAAAGATTCAAATGTTAGGTCATCAACAGGAATTTCAGATTTCACAATAAGCTGGATCACCAATTGCTAAATGATGGCCCTAAGAAAGCAAACACATACATTTTAAATGCTGGCTTTTTCTGGTTGGCAATTTAATAATAGGTAAGCAAATATTTTTGCCATATTCTCTCTATGCTCAGTAAAACTGTGGTGCATAGTGTCCTGTACTGGTGCTGGCCCCCAGTAAATCTGGTGTAGGGCCAAGCATGTGCCCTTCAGTGGGATGAGGTTCTGCACCTATCAGATGTGGCAAATCTCGCCTTTCTGTCTGTTTTTTCTTTGTCTTTCTTTCATTTTTCAGTATCTCTCATGCCAAAAATAATTTCTGCAACCAACATTTTTTGCTTGTGCTCTTTAAAAATACCAGAAATATCCAGAAGTTGTAGTGGCAGTGTCTTTGCATTTCAAGTATCCCACTGAACCCTTGAACATGCCCTGTGTGATTACTCCTGAAGTCTTCCTGCATATGTGTAGCCCCTACTCCCATATCAGTAAAAGTCCAATAATTATAATAAACAAAAGAATTAAAAAATACTGTGATCAGAACTATAAAGGTTACTCCCTGGCAGTATGTCTTTCCAGTTGCAGCTGGAAAGAGGCAATCCTTCTGTTAATGCCAACTTAAGCAGGATCGGGCTCTTAAACATAGTTCCAAAAGTGTATCTTTTTCCTGGGATATCCAGACAAATCAGACAACTGCATGACTTGTTAGCATCTCCTACAGAACTGAGCATTAAATCCCTGGTGAAGGAGCTTCAAACACACAAAAGTATGCATGGAAACTTGAAGGTATTTTCATGCTTCACCTTTTCCTCTGTCCCTTCGTGCATTCTTGAAAGTGTGCTCTTTGTGTAAGTATTTTTGGATTTTTTTTTTTTTGGTTTTGCACAACAGAACCCTCTTTGCTACCCAACTTACCTGAGTGGTGCATCTATCTTCTTCCAGGCGTATGCGCTGTTGGGAAACCGATGTGCCTGCTGTTCGAGTACATGGCCTACGGGGATCTCAATGAGTACCTGCGTGACCGCTCACCCCGCAACCTCTGTAGCCTGGTGCACAGCAGCCTGGACGCGCGGGCCCGCCTCCCCAACCCCTTGGCACTGTGCTGTACCAGCCAGCTCTGCATCGCCAAGCAGGTGGCTGCCGGCATGGCGTACCTCTCTGAGCGCAAGTTTGTCCACCGGGATTTAGCTACCAGGAACTGCCTGGTGGGAGAGAACATGGTGGTCAAAATTGCCGATTTTGGTCTCTCGAGGAACATGTATTCAGCTGACTATTACAAAGCGAATGAGAACGACGCCATCCCCATCCGCTGGATGCCCCCTGAGTCCATTTTCTACAACCGCTACACCACAGAGTCTGACGTGTGGGCCTACGGGGTAGTGCTGTGGGAAATCTTCTCCTATGGCATGCAGCCCTACTATGGGATGGCTCATGAGGAGGTCATCTACTACGTGAGAGATGGGAATGTCCTCTCCTGCCCAGACAATTGTCCGCTGGAGCTCTACAACCTGATGCGCCTCTGCTGGAGCAAACTGCCTGCTGACCGGCCAGGCTTTGCAAGCATCCACCGCATCTTGGAACGCATGTATGAGAGGGCTGTGGCCACCCCGTCAGTCTGAGGGATGTGGCTGGGGGGTCCCCCATGTCCACCTGTCCAGACTGACTCAGACTGGCCCGTGGCCTCCCAAGCGGTGTCAGCACACAAAGCCCTGCTCTAAGGAGGGAGAAACAGCTTGTTCCACTGCCAAGTGAGAAGTGTGGACTGCACCCCACTATGGTGGGTTATACCTCCCTGAGTGGGACTATACCTTCCAAATGACAGGGCTGACCCTGGCCACCAAACCTGGACACCTCAGCCTGGTGAGGGTGCTGGCTGTGCTAACTCAGTACCTATATTAGGCATTTCCAGGAGCACAGAGTTCCCCAGGGAAAGCAAACCAACTTTCACTAGTGGCACTTCCCTTCCTAACAGGACCCTCCATGTCTTTCCGCATTTACACTCTTGGCTTTTACCTTTTCCTTCCCTTCCCCATATGTTTCCAAGTGTTATTTAAAAAAAAAAAAAGACTGGAGAATTCAGTCTTTTTGGGGATACTCTTTACTATTTTATTTTTGCATACTCACTTCCTTTTGTAGAAAAAGGATGTTTCTGAAGCCATAGGCCACTTTCTTTTTTCTTTTAACTTCCACCTCCTCTTTGGCACACATGAACATAACATTGACAGAGTCAAAATAGGAGCCTACAGGACCACTGGCAGCTGCCCACACCTCGTGTCACACGGATGGGCAAACTCCTGTCAAGCACGGAGCCTGACATTTTTAGAAGTGGGAAACCCACAGTGAGGTTCATTTGATGTTTGTTAAGATCGCACCCAAAAGCTTGCCTCAAACATTGCAACCCACCTTTCCTGTCTTCCTGTGCAACAAAACCATTTGGTGCTAAAGGAGAAATTCAACCCAAAGGCCTGGTCTTGCACCTGGTAGATGTGTTTATTTGCCTCTGCCTGCAGTATGGTCCTCACTGTGCCGAAAGCAGGGAGAAATGCAGCCCCCTTGCAGAAATGTGGCAGGTTATGTTACTTATTTCTCTCCTTTTCCCTTCCAATCTTTGCCTCCTGCTTCTGGTTTCCCTTTCCTGACATCAGCTCCTACGCCCTCTAAGCCCGTCTGCCATGTTTGCTGGCCACCCTTCCTTGTGCTGCAGTTTACAGTCATAGAAGTAAGGAAGGTGGATGCCTGCCATCAGTGGCCTTCAGGGACAACCTGCCAGTTAGGAGAAGGTGGAAAAAGGAGGGGTTCACACTCCACACAAGAATTGTCGCAGACTGTCCATCTGCAGGGCAAAGATGAGATTGCCTTGGTTACACATGGTCCACAGCCCATCTCCAAACACCAACCGTCCTTTCTCTGCTAAAAGATCTCCAAATTGTAATGGATACTTCAGTGCCAGAGAAAATTGTGTTCCTCTGAGGGTGGGTTTTACCTTTTAGTTCCTTGGGCAGTGAGGAGCAGTTGTCCCAGAGCCTCATTGCTGATGTGAAATACAGGGATGTGCATTGTGCCCGGAGAGCAGGAGCGCCAGGGAGTGAGCGGTCGATGTGGCTTCTGCAACTGGGACACACTGGTTGGGTCTATCCAAGAAACAGCAGTGGAGACCACCCATCTGTAGGGCTACCAGGAGTAGCCTTGGTCTCTGAAACGTAAGCTTGAAAAGTTCTGCCAACCATTGTGAAGAACAAAACTGGAAAGCATGTACCTTCCTCTTATTGTTTTCCTGTAATGTGAACTAACGTCTGCTACCTTATAACCTTACCTTTTTTTTTTTTTTTATAACCATAGTTCATTCTGGTGGTGACCACAAGAGTATAGTTTAGTGTTTTCAGGCCACTGGCATCAATTTCATTTGAAGCAAAAAGCTTGCAACTACCCAAGACAGTGGGAAGAAAGAGGAAGTTCTGCTTGGGCTGCAAAACATTGAAATGCTAAAAATGCTTGGATATCTGCACAATAAGCACAAGATGACCAGTGCTGCCTTATTCATTTAACAGTCCTACCATCATGCTGCTATGATACAATGGGTTACTGAGGTTTAGATGCTAAACACAACCCCCTCAAGAACCCCAAATCCCTCAGCTTAAATACAATAATTGCTGGAGATCCTTACATAGCTCCTGTTTCCACATCATGACTACCTCACAGTCCTCAGCGTTAAATTCTGTCAGGTTTTGTCAGCTACCCATCTGTCCTCCCAGCTCTGCGGTGGCAGGGGTGAGGAGATGAATTTGGAGGGGGTGAGCTGCATCCCCACTTGAGCGGAGGCTCTGCCGAGCTGAGTCTCAGTGCACAGCCCACCTCCCAGACGCAGCTCCATGACAGAGGGAGCTTTGCAGTGCTCGTGGCAGCAGAGGTCTTGTCACTCTCTAAGGAGAGGGCAGGGACAGACCTTGTTTGTGGGTAGCAGTGTGGATCCAGGTACTCGGCACATCTTCCTAATCCGGAAAGTATCTTACTCCAAGCAAAAAATGCAGGAACATGTAAAACCTGCACCACGTGCTGATGTGAACAAACACACCCATTTACAGTCCAAAGGGCAGTTTGCCTTTCTGCCTTCTAGGATCCCAGCGCTGTCTTCAGTCGCTCACTCTCCATTTCCCCCACCTAGGCCGCTTTGAAATCATGATCATGGTTTTCTTGTTTTCATGTGGGATGAAGTTGGACGCCTGTAATGTCGCATGATATGAAGGTTCCCTCACTTTCAATGTGAAAGAGGGACTCCCACAAACTTGGAAGAGTAGCCCTTTTCGTTGCACTTTCCTAGCCCAAATCCTTCTCGCAGTGACCCCAGGTTCAGTTCAATGTGGGCCTGCAGCAATAAAAGAGTGGAAAATTTGGTTTTCCTTGTCTGGCATTCCAGCCTTTACATTATAACCGTGCATTGAAGTGTGTGGTAGTGAGTGACTGCAGGTCAGGAAGGGAAATGATTCCTGTGTTGTAAGAGAGAAGAGATCATTTCAAGATCGACTCACAGAGAAGCTCTCTGCAGCACGCTCTCCAAGGATGATAATCACTCTGTGTCACGATCCAGCAGGAGGGCTTAGCACCTAGATGGTGATGTCCTTTTAGGATTAAATGGTAGAGAAACCTTCTGCTGCCTTGGCGTGTAGCTGGATTTTACCCTGAGAGTTTTCTCCTGTTGTACAATTTTCAGTTTGCTAAAAGCTGGAGGTTGAATTGCTTTCACTATTTGCCCTTTTTCACAGCTTTCTCTTCTCCTCCTTTTGTTCGAGACTTCTGCTTTCTTCAATGGATGTTATACAGTGTGCTAGTCCAGAGACTTCTAGACTTTTCTGTATAACTATCACTTATATTATTTTGAATAGGTATAAACAGAGTGATTGTGAGAGAGTAGAAGAGAAGGGAAAATTTGTTACTCAAAAATTTGTTTGGAAACAAAAATATTTTGCAGTCTCTAGTTTGGATTTATAATTCATGAGAAAGAGGATGAACCAAGAACAAATATTTTTGATGCTTTGGTTCCCATTCCCAGTGATGCAGAGGGAACCTTGCAGTCAGTGGCATGGAATGAGAACCCTGAGGAGTAGAAGGGGATTTGCAGCACATTTGATGTACCCATTCCCCCTGCAAGTGCCCTGCCTACAGCATTTTGCAGCACATATACAGCTTTATCCTGGATGACATATTGCAACAATCTGGTCAACCAAACAGCACAGAAATCTTCTTATGTTCCTGTGACTTTATTTAACAGTTGCATTTAAAATGCATATTAAAACCATAAATTCCATAATTGATTGGACACTGCCTGCAATGTCATAAAATTTGGTTTAGAGGAATTGTCTCGCTAACGTATTATAGACTAAACTCCACTATCTGGTCTCGTTTCTCCAAGGGTATATATAATTATTATTCTTTTATTGTTTGTTATACATTTCAAGAATGATGGCTTTGAAAGACATCCCAAACAGAGATGTACATTTCTCATTATCTCAATCTGTGTAACTCCTGTGTGCAATATTTTATAAAATAAAGAGATATCAGAAAAAGGATAATACTAATTCTGATCTCTCTGTTCTCTCCCTCTTCCAGGACTACCTTTGTTTCTAAAATGTGTGCATTTCCTTTTATTAAAACAGCTTTGTTACAGCTGTAATATCACAATGGTTGTACTGTAGGCAATTCCAGTTATAAGTTAGTCTGTTGTGTGTGCTTAAAGGCCGGTTGTTTTGATGGGTTAAATTGTGTGCTATAGGGACACATTAGGAGACTATAGACTGAATGAGACATTTCAAATGAAGAAGGCAGTCAAGTTGCTCTGGAGGCAGCTGTTTTGCAGGACGGTGTCCAGGTCAGAGCGGGAGAGCGCTGGGCGCTCAGCATGATGGGTCCCTGTCCTGACACTAAAGATGTGAGGAGGAGAGAAAGAAGGATGTTTTTACAGCAGTGGGGGTTGGTGTCACTTGACCACTCTCCCAGTGTGAAAGGTGTCTCATGTAGGTGGGAATGACATCTGCCTCCCACCTGATTTCTGCTGGCATCTTTACCTGGATTCTGATCTCACACCCAGATGTGTTGGGAATTAAAGTGCAATATAAAATTGAAAAGCGAATTGTGTTTGCTCTCTCCAGAACACAGCTGAAAAAGGTTTGTCACTGATGGGTTTATCTAAATAGTCATAACTCCTTTTTCTGCACGTGATTCTTGAACATGAACTCATTCAGGAAGTCTACGGGAATTTAAACTATTTTAAAATTCATTGCAAATATTTGACAGTCAGAACTGGGGAGCAAAACCAAACTTCCTGACTACAATTAGCCAAGCAGACCATGAAGTGCATTCATTGCAGGGGGGTTGGACTAGATGACCTTTAAAGGTCCCTTCCAACCCAAACTGTTCTATGATTCTATGACAGAACCCGTCATCTTCAACAGCACGATCACTGCCAGGCTCCCCTCCCTCCAACCCCTCTCTGATACCACCTGAACTGGCCTGCACAAGCAGATGGCCCCCAACGTCATGAGTCACCCTGAGTATTTTGGGTAGTACAGCGGTAATGTCAGCTGTCCTGTGTGAAGCAATGAGAGTAACGCGTGGCTGGGGAGAG